TTTCAAAAGTAAGCTTCCTAATCCTCTTTAGTTTATTGTCCATATTGTGATATTTCATTTATTTTACAAATTTAAATGAATACAATTTTTCAAGCAGTTGGAAAATCCCCTAATAATATTTTCGTCATTAAAATTTCCTAGCCTCTTTAGTTGGATGGTAGCATTGCAATATTTAATTTATATTATCAGTTAAATTAAATTAAAGTTTTCAAATAGGTGGCAACCTTCAAAAAATCAAAAATAATGGAACTATTTTGAATTAAAACAATAATTTACATCTTTCTTTGTAGAGTATCGGAGTTATTCAAAATTTTTATTCAAAAACCTGCGCTAGGATCTCTGTGTGTCCGTCCACGTTTGGCTGGTGCAGTCCACTGTGAATTACAGCTGCAGCGATTTATTTTGTGAAGTACAGCCGTTGCATACTTACAAGTAAGTATACCACCCCATAAAAGTGAAAGTGCAAATATCAATAAAGATTTTTTCTTGTGCTGGTCAGGATCATTTGTGTGTCCGTGCACGTTCGCTGGTGAGGGTATTTTCCCCACTGCAACCTTTGGTTTGGTCAAGTGGAGCCTTTGCATACTTACAAGTTAGTATACCACCCCATAAAAGGGAAAGTGCAGATATTAATAAAGATTTTTTCTTGTGCAGGTCAGGATCATTTGAGTGTCCGTCCACCAAATGTAATTCAATTATGCTATTGAACATGTAATTTTTAAATGCAACAAATATAATAATTTTTAAAAGATTAATTTATTATATCAATTTTGCATATTTCTTCATATCGCATACCGTATTCAAAAGAGTCACAACTCAAAATAATACGTTTGTCAGAAAATGCGGAAAATTGTTCCTTATATTATATCAAAAATTTGCTCCAGCTTTTCCCGAAAGGTAAATAAAAGCTTTGTGTACATTTTTAGCGCATAATCTCAAAAATGCCGCATTTTAAGTTGTGACTCTTTTGAAGGTGGGTGCGATATAGTCCCTTTGAATAAATAATTTGTTTGAATTCCATTAATTTTGTTTAATATATACTAGAATTTTAATGAAACCATGGTTTATTTTGAATATTTTGGAATATTTGTCGATACGATTTTTCTTTGGTCAGAATTTTATGCGAATAGCATGATTAATATACCGTAGAAAAGTTAATTCATTGTCTATTGTGTAGGACAGTGGAATCTGCTTTATATATTTAATTCAATTTTTATACAAAAAACGCATTTCAGCACTACCAGACTACTTTTCCTACTACCTTTTCACAAAAGGGGATAAAATGGTTACCCGCTTTTACTTTTCTTCTCAAATGCATCCTTACAAGGCAGTCGATTGACACAAATGTCAATATTTATCCAACCTTATATTGATCAGCTGATTAAATGTGTAACATCTCTGAGTTCTGATTTAATTTTAATTTAAAGTAATTTTCACTTAACCCTTTGAATACGATTTTTTTTAAGGATACAAAATATTAATTGATGAAAAGTTGTTGCCAGTGAACTAATTGATATGTCTTCGTGTATATTGAAAAAAGTTGTTTCTAGGAATTGAGAAAATGTCCTGGGAAAACATTGTCCCACCCGTGATAAACTGTGGGACACATTTGTCCCAATAGTAACAACAAACATAAATTAAACATTTTTATTTATTGAATTAACGGAGTTCTTCTTCTATGCTAACCAATGTCTATACATATAATAAAATTGTAACAAGTCGATGTCTGTACATTATAGATATTAAAGAAAGAAGCCAAAGCCAAATCAACAATTCTTAGAATTTTTGTCTGTCTGTCTGTATGTTTGCACGCGCATCACTCGAAAACGATTGAATGGAATTGAATGCAGTTTTCACCGATGTATTGCTAGATGTCTAACTTAAAATATAGAAAGAAAAAGAGGTTCCACCTGTTTGAAAATTGCAGTTGAAGTAAATTGATAAAAAAAAGTGAATATTGCAATATGGGCGTCAAAACAAAGAGACTTAAGAAGGCTTACAGCCAAAAATATTTTTTTAGATTGCAACCTGTCTGAAAATTTTAACTTAATTTAATTTATAAGATAAATTTAATATTAAAATACGGGTATCAAACTGAAGAGGTTTAGGAAATCTTACTGCCGAAAACATTTTTGAGGAGAGTTGCCACCTGTTTGAAAGATTTGATTCTATTAAATTGATAAAATAAATGAAATCTATATCTATACTTACAGTAAAGTTGTAACAGGCAGATGTCTGTGCCTTATAGATATTAAAGAAATAATAATATGGTGGGTTTTTATTAGAGCTACAGAAGCCAAGTAAACAATTTTTAGAATTTTTGACTCTCTGCTTGTCTGTATATTTGAACGCGCATCACTCGAAAACTAATATATGGAATTGAATGCAGTTTTCACCGATGTATCGCTAGAGGTCTAACTTACAATATAAAAGAAAAAAATGAGAGAGTAGCCACCTGTGTTTAAAATTTCAGTTTAGGTTAATTGATACGATAAAGTAAATATTGTAATATGGCTGTCAAAAGAAAGAGGCTTACAGAGGCTTACAACTGAAAGTATTTTTGTGGAAGGTTGCCACCTATTTGAAAACTTTAATTTAATTTATATTATCGAGCTACATACAGAGTAAATTTTTGGTCAATATATTTATTTTCAAGGTGTTGCCAAATATGAACCAAGTCGGTGCAGCCG